TGTGAATACATAGACACCAACATGTCCCTAGTAAGCCTCTAGTTGACTAGCTCGTTGATCAATAGATAGTCATGGTTTCCTGACTATGGACATTGGATGTCATTGATAATGAGACCACATTATTAGGAGAATGATGTGATGGACAAGACCCAATCCTAAACTTGGCACAAGATCGTATAGTTCATTTGCTAGAGTTTTTCCAATGTCAAGTATCTTTTCCTTAGACCATGAGATCATGTAACTCCCGGATGCCGTAGGAGTGCTTTGGGGTGTACCAAACGTCACAACGTAACTGGGTGACTATAAAGGTATACTACGGGTATCTCCGAAAGTGTCTGTTGGGTTGACACGGATCAAGACTGGGATTTGTCACTCCGTATAACGGAGAGGTATCTCTGGGCCCACTCGGTAATGCATCATCATAATGAGCTCAAAGTGACCAAGTGTCTGGTCACGGGATCATGCATTACGGTACGAGTAAAGTGACTTGCCGGTAACGAGATTAAACGAGGTATTGGGATACCGACGATCGAATCTCGGGCAAGTAACGTACCGATTGACAAAGGGAATTGTATACGGGGTTGCTTGAATCCTCGACATCGTGGTTCATCCGATGAGATCGTCGAGGAGCATGTGGGAGCCAACATGGGTATCCAGATCCCGCTGTTGGTTATTGACCGGAGAGCCATCTCGGTCATGTCTACATGTCTCCCGAACCCGTAGGGTCTACACACTTAAGGTTCGGTGACACTAGGGTTGTAGAGATATAAGTATGCAGTAAACCGAAGGTTGTTCGGAGTCCCGAATGAGATCCCGGACGTCACAAGGACTTCCGGAATGGTCCGGAGGTGAAGAATTATATATAGGAAGTGCAGTTTCGACCATCGGGAGAGTTTCGGGGGTCACCGGTATTGTACCGGGACCACCGGAAGGGTCCCGGGGGTCCACTGGGTGGGGCCACCTATCCAGGAGGGCCCCATGGGCTGAAGTGGGAGGGGAACCAACCCCTAGTGGGCTGGTGCGCCCCCCTTGGGCCTTCCCCCTGCGCCTAGGGTTGGGAACCCTAGGGTGGGGGGCGCCCAACTTGCCTTGGGGGGCACTCCACCCCCCTTGGCCGCCGCGCCCTTGGGAGATTGGATCTCCAGGGCCGGCGCCCCCCCCCTTGGGGACCCTATATATAGAGGGGGAGGGAGGGCAGTCACACCCTTGAGTCTTGGCGCCTCCCTCTCCCCTGCTACACCTCTCCCTCTCGCAGTAGAACGGCGAAGCCCTGCTGCGGTGACCCCTGCATCCACCACCACGCCGTCGTGCTGCTGGATCTTCATCAACCTCTCATCCCCCCTTGCTGGATCAAGAAGGAGGAGACGTCACGCTGACCGTATGTGTGTTGAACACGGAGGTGCCGTCCGTTCGGCGCTAGGATCTCCGGTGATTTGGATCACGTCGAGTACGACTTCCTCATCCCCGTTCTCTGAACGCTTCCGCGCGTGATCTACAAAGGTATGTAGATGCAATCCAATCACTCGTTGCTAGATGAACTCATAGATGGATCTTGGTGAAACCGTAGGAAAATTTTTGTTTTCTGCTACGTTCCCCAACAGAAAGGCAATCCAAACATGCCAAATTTTGGTAGTCCGATGGCATGTTTAGTTGGTGGTGATGGAGTAGCCGGACGATGTGTGTGCATCAACGTAGTTGCATGAGTTTGTATGAATTTGAGATATGATAATTGAGGTGGTCGGATATGGATTACATTATTTGAGGGGTGCCCGGTCAGTGCCCGTGGACATGCCCAGGCGCGTCCGCTGGCGTTTAAGGGGCCGGATTTGCCAAGTCCGGTTTGTAGATGCTCTAAGGGGAGCTTTTCGGGAGTCCGGACAGCTGCCATGCGCCCGCGTTTGACTGCCCTGACCCATAAAAACCACGCCCTCGCCCGCGTGCTTTCCGACCGGCGCCAGCTACCCACATTCATGTCGCTGGAGAGCGGCCGCTCCGCATTGATGCTGGTGCAGAACGGACGCAATCTCTCACTACCGGCAATGAAGAGGCGCGTCGGCCGAGAGATCGCCCCTTTGCACACCCCGCTGAACACGTCTCCTCGTCGCATTCAAACGCCCACAAATTGTCCACCTTCCTCCATTAAACCCGCACGTGTGTTGAGAAACCTACTCCGGCCACAGGTCCGTTTGCGAGCCGCCTGTCATTAAACAAATGTTGGTTGGCTCTGACCGTCCACTAAGCGGTGCGAGGCATCGGGAAAAAATCGCACCACACTCCGCTCCCATCTCCTCCTTATAGCATTTTCTCCACAAGTTCCATGGCATCCGGTGAGCATGAAGAGGAGTTCTCCGGCATAAAAGCCGGCTGGGTGGTCCATCGAGCCTGCCAGATACGAGCCAGGTAACTCTTTGTTCCACGTTCAACAACTCGCCGCTCCAAGCCAGCTCGTAGAGGAGTGGCGAGTTGATCAAGGGCGGCACACGGGGGAGCACAGCACCACTGGCATCGTGGTTGTCATGGACGACGACGTGTCGTACCGCTCCTCTCGTGCATGTGACCGTGCCATCCACCATCAATGTTCGCATAACCGCGTCCGGCAGAGAAACAAGCCGGCTTCATGGAGATCGACAAAGCGGTGGCCAGCACGTCCGCACCTGTCGCCATCATCGAGAAGTAGAGCATGGGAGGCCGCTACCGCTTGGGTCCCATGAAGGCCACCACCTAGGCGACACCGGCATACACATACGGTGTCCTTGCCCGGCCGCAGGCTACCGTCGTCCCCTTTCCTTTGGCTAAAGCACATCCCGGCGATGCCACTCTGATGAGTAGTGTTGCCGAACATGGTGAAGTGAGCCACCCTTTGCGTTGAAGCATATACCCGAGGGCTCATGGCAGTATGATGAGCGGGCTGCCAGATATGGGGAAGATAATGGAGATCCGCCGCGGCTGACCGTAGACTACTCAAGAGCATCCGTGTCATGGGAATGGATATCCGCCGGCACCGGCCGTAGACTAGTTTTACCTTAGTCCGGTATAGTTTTTAGTTAAAAATTGTCCAAAATAAAATGAATTTTTTCTAGTTTTTATATAAAACTCATCGTGTTTGCATGAATTTTGTTTGGAGTTCAAATAGTGGTTAAAATGTATGCGGAAAACATTGGATGGCCGGCTCCCGCATCCGTGTCCATGGACTGGATCCCCCTCCTCTTGTCCATGGACAGATACCGAAGCAAATTTGCGGGTCAGCGTTGGAGGCGGACAACTTCACTTCCCGGGCCTCCGAAGGCGCAGGTTACGGAGCCGGAGCTGGAGAGCACCAGGGCGGAAGTGGAGACGGTGAAGCTTTAGTTCTCGGAGCTGATGGCCGGAGACATGGAACAGACGCCGGCGAGATTAGGTATTAGTTATACCTCTAGAGCCGGACTAGCAACGTTTTGATGTAAATGTAATGAAATTTGTCATGTTTACATGAAATCCGGACGTGTTTATATGAAATCCGGTTTTGTTTGTTGAATTTCATCCGGTTTGTTGAAAAGGAATTTGAAATTGGAGGTGCTCTTATTATCTTGTGATGATTTTGAGCAATTTGCCCGTATGCACGCCGAATCGAGTGGGCAGTCCACACCCAGAAAGAGGAAACTAGCACCGCGTCGAATCGAGTGGCGACACGAACAAGGGCGCCTGGATGGAGTCCCCCGCCGTGGACAAAGCTAGGGCTTGCTCCAGCCCATCCCAATGGGCGTTCTCCTCGAGCTGGCTCGCCTCCGGCGCGTGTTGCAGGGCCTCTTTGAGGGCGGCTTGGTAATCCGTCTCCGCCTCCTCTTCCTCCGGCTGTACTCGCAGGGACGACGGTGGAAAGTCGTGGTTGATGTGGACGCCGTCGTTGCGCCTCGTGTTCGAGGGCATACGAGGCCTCCTAGTTGGGAGAGGTTGTGGCGTACTTGGGCGTGAGCCGCTGCGCCGGCGTGAGCTGCGCCCGGTGCCTACGCACCTCCTCGTCGTGCGCCCGCTGTGTCCGTGGAACTGTCGGCACCGGGATCCGGTGCGGATCGAGGTGCCAATGGTGTGGCAGCGTCAAGTCGGGGTAAGGCAACGGCTGCCTGTACTCCCAGTGCCACCGCGCTTGGTGCACCGGGATGTGCAGACGCTGTCAACCTGAACGGGCACGCGCCGGCGGCGGGGGAGGAGCACAGGAGGATGAGGTGCCGGGGGTGTCCTTGCCCTTGCCGCTGCCGGAGCTGCTGCTGAAGAGCCCCATGGCTAGGGTTTGGGTTGTCGCCAGCGAGGAAGCACGAAGGGGGTGGTGGCAGGCCAGATGTGGACGGAAGTGGATGAACCCCCCTCCCCTGCGCACGCGTGGGTTAGAAAACAACGCTTCCACTGGCTGACTAGTGGGCCCGGTGTCGATAGTCATCATAAATTAGACGATGGACGGTAGTTGGGTGGCCGCCAAGTGGGACCACGGCGGACACCAAGAGGACGCGTGGCGCGTCCGCTTCACGTCTGCGCCAACACATTTCAGGCGTAATTTTGGGTCGGAAATGATACCGCGCGGACACAAAACGAACCATTTTTGAGATTGAGTTTATGCGTTGGGCAGGTGTTTTTGTCCGCAACTACCCTAATAAACATGGACGGACGAAATGGGTCACCTTGCTCTTACGTGTTTGTAAATAGCTATAGTCCTGTGCGCGGAGTACTTCAAAGTATTGATGGCCTGACCCAAGGAGACAAGATCCATGCTTTCCGACATTATTTTTTTCGCATCACACTGAGAAATCATCATACGTACATGCCCCGTATGCGCACCGAATCGAGTGGACACCGAGAAACAGAGATCGAGCATCATTCTCCAAAAGAAAAAGGAGATCGAGCAGTGCGCGAACCACCCCCATGGTCGGCCACCCTCAGCGCCTGTCCTCTCCACAAATACACCACACTTAGCCCCCTCCCCTCTTTCGCCATTACCCAGAGCTCGCAGCTAGCTAGATCCATCCACCATGGCCGGCAGCAAGGCATTGCTCCTCCTCCTGTGCGCGGCGGCGGCGGCTGCTATGCTGAGTCAGGCTTCCGCGGCCGGCGACCTGACCAAGTTCAAGGTGTACTTCCACGACGTGCTAGCGGGGAAGAGCCCGACGGCGATCCGGATTGCGCAGGCGGCGTCCACCAACAGCTCCTCCACCTTCTTCGGCGCGGTGGTGGCCATCGACGACCCGCTCACCACCGGCCCCGCCGTCACGGGCTCCGCCAAATCCAAGGACGAGGTGGGCCGCGCGCAGGGGAGCTACACGTTCGCCGACCAGGCCACCTTCGGGCTCCTCATGAACATGAACTTCGTGTTCACCGCCGGGGACTACAAGGGCAGCAGCCTGACCATCTACGGCCGCAACGAGGTGCTTTCGGCGGTGAGGGAGATGAGCATCATTGGGGGCACGGGCAAGTTTCGCATGGCTCGCGGCTATGTCCAGGCGAGCACCGTGGACTCCGGCGCCAAGTCCGGCGAGACCGTCGTCGAGTACACTATCTACGTCAAGGCTGCTGCGGCGTAGCGGCCGCTGCCGGACGGAAAATATTGTAATTTTGCTTGGAATAAATGGACTTTTGCAGATTTGTTGCGTTTGTTATCGTGATGGATGATGTGCATTTACAGATTTGAGTGCTGTTTCGTGTCTGTGGTTTGCAGTTTTGCTAATCTCTTCAGCTCTTTGGAAGATATAATTTGCGTCGATTTTATGTCAAATTTGTGGTTGCTGAAATCAATGAACCAAAGATTATGCAGGAAAAAGTCAGTGCACAGAGCCAGAACGTGTGATCGTTGCGTGAAGTAGAACCCACCGGCCACCCCTCTCCTGATAGTTTTTTTATTCCAGGGGCCACCGTACCTTACTTTTTTAGGGGATCTTTCACTTTTCACTTTGTTCCCACTAGTAAACGTGCACGTGCGTTACAAACATACTGTGGCTAAAGTTTTTAAAAAAAAAAACTCTTACATTTTACACATATTCTCTGCACCAAGAAAAACTAATGCATGAACACACTCCATGTTACTGCTTAGATCTTGTGGGTCACTTTTTTTTTTGTATTTTTACTATAATTGTCTGTATCTGCACAATAAGAAGCTCCCCCGTCGTTTTGTAACATTCTCTTACAAAAACAAAATGCAACTCACATGACATTAAAAAACATAAATCTTCACTTCCCAGAGAAAGAAGTATACGAAGGAGTGTGTCCCACAAACCATGTGAGCACCAAAATAGTAAGCAGGAGCATAACATAGCGTCCTCGCAGTTGTGCCATTTGTTGCAAAGTTGCAGGCTAATATTGACATAGAAGTTAATTAGTTGATTTACCTCAAACTGCTAGTGATCAGTGTGTAGGAGTGCTGATCCAGGAAAATGGATGAATGAAAATATAACTGGACATGCATGACTCCTACATGTAGCAAATCAATCGAATAACATCAGCACTGTGCCAAGACATTCATTCCTTGTATAAATCAACCAATCAATCTGCACTAATAGTATTGAGGCAGTGGTTGCAGACTACCAGGAAAGGATCAATAAAAGTACATTAGAAGAAAACTTTTACCAATTGTCCTTGAATCTGGTTATCAACTGAACAAATATCATTTACTATAAGATGTAAATTTCTTCTATAACTGAGAATCTAGAACCATAAACCAAAGAATGTGCATTTTACAATAAACAGAAGAAATTCTGAAATTGACACATAATTTTTTGAAACACTGACTATACTGTACATAATTTAGGTAACAGTGACACTTGAGCTTTTAGATTTCATAGTGGACTTAAGTCTATCATAATAGTGCATATTTTAATCCCCCACATACTCCAAGAATGCTTTGTGTGACTTCTGAATATTACTGATATCAATCAACGTGTTAATACTACCTCTTTTTTATATTATTTAATGTAAATTAATTAGGAATCTTTGTACAGTTCACAGAAAAACAGAATCAGAAACAATAATGTGATAATAGGTAAAGACTGAAGTTCGGAACTTTAATGATAGTAACAACCAATATTCTTTGCCATATATTGTATGCATCTAGCTCATAAAATATAATTTAATGTGGGGTATAATGATATGAAGCTGCTTCAGTCTGTATGATACAGTCCGTGTCAAAAAGGATATTACCCGTTCAAAAATAAACATAATGCTTATGTCATAAGCAAGCTTGAACACAGATTCATAATTCTAGGCCAACTCATTTAGTTTCAGAATTTCCATAGGAAAGAGATAACAATTTGGAACATGCTACAAAACTGGTGAAGATAGAAAGCATTCATCCTCTTTTTCCTTGTTGTAAGGAGTAGCTTCCGCATATATTTGTAGCAATGTAATACCTGATCCGAAAAAAGTTGTTCACTATTATTGTTGGAGGAAAGAGACGTGTATACAAAGAAAGAGAGGCGGTGCAAATAACCTGCAAATAAGGCCTTAAATAGTAAGTATTCTTGTTTGATAACTTCAGATATGTTGGATCATTCCAAACTGCACAAGTAAATAAGAATAAATGTATGTGCCAAAATAGCAAAAGGTATATGATTTCTCTGTCATGAAATAAAATAAATCCGACTGAATCTAGTTTATATGATTTCTCTGTTCCAATACACGACAGCTGTATTAGAGCAGATCCTCCGAAGGATTTATTTATTGGAACTCAGCAGGATTAGTTTCTTCATTGGATCCCTCTGCATGGTAAAATTCTCTTTATTGGAACGCAGTAGAGATTACACACATTTACAGAGCAGCAGCGAGATATATTCTCTAACAACAGTTACAGAATCTCTATACCCTTTTTAGATGTATAGAATCATGCAACTGAAATAGTAGTACATCTACAATACCTCCTACTGGATCTTACATAATTCACTGGATTGCTATGCAATTATGTTGAAACAACACATGAGCCCACGAAGTCTGCGTGTAAAGTTTTCTCTAAGAATCAAGCATATATTCTGATTTCCAACCTATATCACTGGAGCTAGTGCCTAGGCAGGCACAACCCAACTTTATTCCAGGCTACGTGACATCATCATACATAAAACACACACTGACCAAATAGCACAAATAAGGCAATTCTAATCAAGGGGGTAGCCTTACCTCTTGATACGGTCCAGTTTAATGCATCTGGTGGTATGAAGTAAAGCCAAGGAAGCCGACATGAACATGAGAAGTAATCCTAGGAAACAGAGACTCTGCATCTTCATTTCTTTAGTATCCCTCTTGATCCTACTTTGTAAGACAAGATTGCTGCACAATTCTTATGTACATGTCATATCTAATTACACATTTTCAGTACAGTAATCGGCAACCTAAGATAATCCGAACACTACAATTCTAGATTGCTGGAAGCCCCAGGGTTCATATTTAATCTCTAATGCGCGTGCACCCACTAAACATAAACTTTATGAGGGACAATGAATTCTAATTTCTCAACCAGCCAAACTTAGGCATGTAGTCAAATTCTAATCTTGGTCTAAATATGAACCTCCTCGTAAGTATACAGGTCTAAACAAACACATTCTTACATCAGTCCCATTTCCTCCTATATCTATATATGAGAATAAGTTTCAGGCTCCAGTTCACTTGTATTTCCCAAAGGAATTTTCAAATGATTAAGTAAACTCCGGAATAGCAATTTCTTCCTGTCCCAAAAAATGTTTCTAGTACTATGTATCAGAGGAAGATTGGTTAGTAGATGAAATTGCAGATCAAAAAGTTCAGATCCACCACCAAGTACCAAAGGTGCAGTATTAGTCATGCAAACCAAAGAATACCACCGATTGAATTAAAGGTTCACCTGATTGATTTGTGATAGACCTTCAGTGCCCTCGACGGTGCACGTAGGAGAACTGTAGGAGGTCCTCGACGGCCCAGCCGGAGGGCGGCAGGAACGGTGATGACGCCACCTCCTGAGCTCTGAAGGTAAATTATGGTCGCAAGGTAGCAGTGATTTTTGTAGAATTCAAAGTTCATTCTCAGTGCCCTTTGAAGCTGTTAAACCAAATTAACAACACAATTGCACAATCGAAACACCATGAAGAAAGAGATAATGCCAAGTCAACAATTATTTGTATCTTGCATGGCTTGGGTCCTTACAAGGCTACTTCCTTTCAGCTCGAGTCCATGGGTGCTAAGTTAACCAATTCATCAAGCAAAACCTGCATTTTCATGTGCTTTCGCAAAATGCAAAGCAAACTTAGCGGTGATCATTAAGGGCAACCCAAAGAGGAAAAACAAAAATTCAAAGTATGCATTGAAAATATAAGGAAGCGAGCCCTTGCTCTACAACCAGGGGGGGGGGGGTACTCAAAGCATTAGCAATATTTTCGTTACAGGAATAAAAAAACTTCAAGATATGAAATCAGTATCAATTATGCCCTGATCTGTAAAGCTTTTGACATCAGCCTACTTGGTCATACCTTTCATTCATCAACTGTACATAAGCACCACTGCAAAAATTACATAAGAAATAAGGCTGCAAAAGCAAAAACATCTTTCCATCAAGCAATCCTTTCAAGGGAATAGGAGAAGCAAAACAACTGATGCAGTCGGTTCATATGTACATTTTTTTTAATTAATATGAACACACAACTGAACCTTATTGTGTTACCGCCGTACGATGAATTGTTTTTTGTAGCTACAGCCCAGAAACCATCTGCAAGATTCAGGTTACAAACAAACATAAATTTTAATGCATTTAAAAAACCTTAGACCAAAGACCGCCCACTCACAACTTTGGCTCTATGCCTGTGGACTGTGGCAGGCTATCGAGCAGTACAACGCCTCCTAGTGTCACCCACATGGCTTATCAAGTTTTGGTATGAAGTGAATTTGCTTGCTCACACCGTTTTTTGTAATAATATTCTTTGCCTTTGGTTGAATGAACACCACCTCAGATTATGATTTATGAAGTGGTCATTTAACACCACAATATCCAAAAGTAGAAGGCATATTGTTAACCTTCTGTACAAGCTTTCCAAAATAAATTTTATAACACATCTAGATTGCCTGAGAAGAAGTATTGGTTTCAGATTTCTGGTTGTATCTCAAACTAAAATCATAAGTTTAATACTTGCGGCAAACTACCCAGAAAGACTCTACCTCAGTAACAATTGCTTCCAAATAAATTACTCTGTTGTTACCATAAATCTCTCTGCAGGTATACATAGTACATGTTCAAGGCTCCATGCGTACATCTAACATTACATATTCCGAATAAGTGCCTTACACATCTATAGCAGCAGGAGAAGCAGCAGAATCAGGCATAATGCACCCATATATTCCTTCCATCAAGCACCTGAAACAATCATCATTTGGCAGAAGCATGTCAGCGGAAGGAAAAGAACGGCATATTATCCCGCGAGAGCTTGGTTTGTTCTGCTGTACCAACGGATAAACGAAGCACGTTTTTATATACCTCACCACTCATTTTCTCCAACGCCGTGGCTGCTTCGCTTTCCAAAGAGAACTTGACAAAACCATACCCTTTGGATCTCCAGCGTCAGGCACATCGATCAAT